AAATGTACGCGTGGCACATCCAAATCGTCAGGTGCTCATGGCGCAGGGAATGGCTTCAGGCGGCGGCCCCTTTGCACAACTCTCGAGATACGGGCTGCTCTCGATGGGGCCGCCCGCCGCTGATACACATCGCCCGACACCCAAAAGGAGCCGCCGCGTCTGCGGAATTCCCAATGATTGCTTGTTACACCGCTCCCGGTGGCCCTCTTTCGCTGCGATCTCTTTGATAAGCATCGCTCTGCCAGCGAATATGTTTGTTGCTACTCGTTTCTAGAGGGCTGACAGTTCAACACACCACCCGTTCGAAACCTGAAATCTTATCGGAACGGAAGTATATGAAACTGATTCAGATTGGGATCTTTCGTTGTCAGACCTAAGGACTTTCGTGTGGAAAGAAAAACTCTACAAATCCACCATTACAAAACTCGCAAGAAGTACACATCAACTCTTCATAACATTCGAAGTCAACAAAAAATACTTCGTGTGTTTTAACTGTTCATATGTCCAGATGCTCAGCTGTTTATTTGGTGCCGTATTTGATGGAATATTCTGTATGGCCATGTTCGGGTGTCATTTCTAACCAAAATTTACAAATCAGTCTGACCCTCTTACTTTCTTGGTCAACCCTCGTAGTAAATACTAACACACTTCACGAACTAAGCAGGAACACAAAGCTATCGTTTATAAGGGATTGTAGCCTTATTTTTAGGTGATGGTTAAAATTAACTTATATGACATCCTGTATTGGACAGACGTACTGTACATTTGTGTTGTTTTACAACGTTTCGGGAGTATTGTATTCTCCAATCACCAACAACACACTTTGGTTTCCAGACACGAAACTGACACACGCAGAATACAGCTGCGCAGTGCTTCGTAATAATGGCAAAATGAGTTAACCCTCCTGAACTTCCATAAATTGTTGTGGATTATCCTAATGCTGGTTTAGTAATAGTGTATTTTCAATCCATTGTTGTCATATTCAATTTATACTACTCTAGATGTTGCTTGGTGCCAGTTCTATACAGAGTATAAATTTCCGAACTTGCTTTCAATGAATATCGAACCCGTCCACACGTTTAAGAAGATTGTCGATAGCTCATTATGTTGACGTTATCTGGGGCATGGGTTGCAAGCTGTGTAAGCCCTGATCATTTCAATCTGATGCTTGCGACAAGATAAAATAAGTCAGATGACATTGATGAAGAATATTAAAGAGGACAGTTTTAGATTTTCCTTTACATTGTTATTTCCTTTCCATTTTTTTCTTTGACGAGTAGGCAATTGTTCTTTAATTATTTTCCTTTTTCTTGTAAAGGTATCCATAAGCGTATTCTCAATCCCTTTTTCGAAATTACGAAAAATAAACAATTTTATGACAGATAATGAGAATCTGAAGTAAAAAACGAGATATATAGCTAAAAAGAAAATAGGACATTTGATTCATGAATAAAACAATTATAGAGATAAAATAAATGAAAAAGGAAGCAAGAGGGGGAAAAATAGAAATAGAAAAAAAGAGGACGAAAGAAATAAAAAAAACTACAGTTCAGCAATAAATGATGGATGTACCATTAAGGTAGTAAGCGAGACAGCTTTCATATTCCAAGGGATTCAATATTGGTGATATTCTCTTCAACTAATCGAAAGTGCATACGAGAGATTCATTTCCCCTGACATACCTACGAAAACGTTCGTCGAACTGTTTGTGCACATTCAAGTACAAGTTGCACTGTGGAGTAACATTACTGCAATAAAAAAATATTCTTATTGAAGACGTTCTCAAAATATTTTTTAAAAAAAGAGCAAGTTCAAAACATGTTAAGCGTTGCAATTTGCATATTTTATTAACGATTATATACACGTGGAAAAGCAATATCCTTAAGTTTTTAAAAAGATTATGTAAAACTACTATAACCTGCCATAATTGAAATGTTTTTGTGATCATTAATAAAGCACTACATATGTAATTACAGACCTGTACATGCAATATTACCCTGTATTTTATGTTATTTTAATCAGTTCGAAAAGGTCACCCTCTCCAATTTTTGGAAAAATGGGGTTGGCTAACAACTTGATTCGGGATTATGCTTTTAGCTTGGCTACAAGGGAAACGCCACACATCTACGTTAATATAATATAAACAAAATTAGTGATTGTTTACTTCGAATTTGATCTGTTTTCTTCAAATATACAACGTCTCCAGAGATGCGCCATTTTACCACAACGTGCGTGCACCGAAAACATTTGAGTTTGTCTAGCCGAACTGCTGTTTTGAAGTAGTGTTCGAATTACAGCATAGAGGTAGTAAGAAGAATTACAGGATTCAAAGAAGAAATAATATGTTTTGTGAAATTGACAAAACTGTAAACAGACATCAAACTTAAAACGTACATTTTAAAGTGTTGAAGAAATATCTTTTGAATATGATATTATTGAATTTAAATTGAATAATTCTTTACACGAAATGGTGAAATTTGTTTGAATTATGTTTCGTGAAGAGAAAATTTGTAGAAGCAAAATCTGATATGTCATAGATAATACAATAAATGTATGACAACGACAATGGTGCCATGTTGTGTCTTTAATGAATTGACGAACTGAATAAGTTGAATAAAACAATTTTTTGACAAACGATAAAGGGGGTGTTGGAATATGATCTACGATCTTCGTATGGATTTAATTGAAAGGAAATAAAACCAATACCCATATTATGATCACTTTTCAAGGCTACGAGAATCCAAGGGGATAAGTGAGCTTTCTTCAATAAAAATGAGTTAGGGTAGAAACTTATTAATAAAATACACAAAAGTATTGTGATCAAGGATTGTAGAAACAAAAATTGAAAACTTGCCAGTGTACGAACAAAAACTGAAAACGAGTCGAAGTTGATCAATGAATAAATCACAAATACAATACGCACATTTTAACATATCTTTATAATTAGATATATTATTATAAACGGATAAAAGTGTACAAAACGGGTAATCAACGTCAATACTGTGAATATTGATGTATACCTATTGTGGAGGGCAATTTTAACATATTTAGAAAAATATGATTAATTATCCGCCTGAAGAGGACCCAAATCAGACTTTTAGACGAGTCGAAACGTTGAAAATGTGGGGTATAGATATACTACAGTTTTAAAATATAGCAGCTAGCAGAAATATTACAATTCATGTAACCTTTAATTTAAATGATTTTGAATGGCTTTGAAACGTAATTTTAATTGCACGTGTTTTATTTATGATTTACATGTTTGTCTATGACTAAAAAATGCCCTTATACTACTGAAATTCTATGACAAATACAGAACTGAGTTTGGATGTCAAATACCGTTAACTAGTAAAATGTGGCCAATGTAGGTAACTGTAAACCTTTTGAAAAATACTTTCATGTGTTGAAAATGTCTTTCATGCCCGGCCGGCTTTGATCAAATATGTTCTTTCAGTATCTGGCATTGGCCTTACCAATTAATCGTAGTAGCTAATAATGTTACACTTCCGTTAAAAAGTTCTCTAACACCCTATGGCCCTGTATGTTACCTCCATACGGGATATGAGCTGGTATTATTGCAATTTCCAAATTATAATCGACGTAATAATTACTTGTAAGTATTGATTATAATAATAGTGAATTTTAGTACAGCTACATTTCTTTCGCTATTTTGCTAAAATCTACAAATATGCACTTAGCACATTTGGATAAGCACAAATGCCAAATGCTAAATGCAAAAACGCAGATCATTTCCTATTAGTTCCAAAAATTCTGTCTCAACCTATTTTACAACTACATTCGATTCTTCCCCGGATTTCCTTAAAACATCCAAATTTTGCTCCCCTAATTTTTAAAGAGATTAATACTTCATAACCTCCTAATTTATGCTAACTTTTACTTCTGTATTTGCTATGTTAATCGTTTTGTATGCGAATCTAGCGTTGCTTGCGAATCTAAACATTGAAAGGCGACTGTTTATTATGTGAATAAGGTGTTGGTGAAGTGTAATAAGCATAAGTTGTGTGTCACGTTCTTTTGAAAATCGGTATTTGTCCATTTATGTGAGAAAGTAAGTGAGACATAGATCATTACGTTCATTTATTCTCTAGCATTACTTACAGTTTTGTTTTCTCCGTATTTCCCTTGAAATTCTTCGTATTTAAAACGTTCCGAGGCAATAATGTTCATAGGTATTCGCAAATTTACTTTTAAAAACATAATAATTTGAATCTAAATTGAAATCAATCTGCTGCGCGATTTATTTGGTAATTAAATTGTTCACTTAAAAATTCAACATCAGTGTTGCCAACGTCGTTGAAGACAATTATGACATATTAAGCAGAAAGGCCTTTGCGTACTTGTAAATCCACACCTACATACATTGATCGATTTAGTCGTTAGTTTAATTCCTGGCATGATCAGTAAGATCCCAGCGCGAAAACACGAAAAACACACGTTTTGGGAAATTTCTTTGAATCATCAGCCCGGATCCGAAAACAAATTATCAGTTCCCCATCAGATGACCGAGGCGCGACAAATGACATCTCATACGCCTCGATTGATGCACGGGAAGTGGTATAGGTGCGAGTCATGGGTCCGCATAATCGCACATACGCACACACGACTTTTACTCAAATACTGTGTAGGGATATTCTGTGTAAGGATATTCTAATTATTGCTATGCATTCAGTTTTTTCTGTAATCCAAAACACCATTAGAAGTATGTTGTACCGTAATTCTTATATCTTTATAATGGGCTGGCAGATAGAGCGTTTTCCAATTATCAGGGGGGGGGGGGCAAGCGCTCAATATCTGCCCCACCCATGACGGGGGGGGAAGAGTTCTCAGGCAAATGAGAAGCTGTATCTCTCTCTCTCTTTCTCTCTCTCTTTCTCTCTCTCTTTCTCTCTCTATTATATGTACATATAATTGTCTCCATTTTCTGGGATGTGGAAGAACTACTCCCCTCGACGAATCGATAAGCTGAGAAGTGCACTCACCCGTCTGCGCGGTCGAGGGCGCGTCGCACGGCGCCGAGGGCGGTCGGGCGGCCGGAGCACAGCAGCGCCACGCAGCCAGCGGGTCGCGGCGGCGCGCTCGTACCTGCAGTCGCTGTGCCGCCGCGCCCCCGCGGCTCCCGCGCCGGAGCGGCGGCCGCGCGCTGCGTCCTCGTCCTGCAAACCCCAAGCTCTGCGCGAAACTCGGCCACATCGGCGCTCACGCTGCAACACAACGACACACCCATACCACTGGTTAGCGTGCGATGGACAAGAGAAGCGACGGAGGGAGTGGTGAGGGAGGGGCAACGAGCACAGGCACGAGGAAGGGTAAACGGAGGGACGGGAGGGAGAGGAGGAAGGAGGAAGGGAGGAGGAAGGAGAAGGGAGGGAGGGAGGAGGGAGGAGAGGGAGGGAAGAGAGGGAGGAGGAGGAGGGAAGGGAGGGAGGGAGGAAGGGAAGAAGGGAAAATGCAAGAACACAAGAGAAGAACATTGGAGGGAGGAACGAACGGAGTGGGCAAGAGCCGGGTTATAAAATCAAGATTCTTTTGGTTAAAATGTCTTTAAAATTTTACTCTCAGTTGAGAATTTGACGTATTATTTCATGTTAATGGGTCATTTATTTGTCTTAAAGAGAAAATAGTAATTAATATAGCTAAATGCGTGACAATAACTGTCAAGCAACTTCTCCCAAAGGCTGTCATGGGCCGGGTATGACATACCGCCACTGCGAGGGAATGTGTACATTCCTTCCTTTTAAATTTCGCACCAATTTCTCTGGACGCGCAGTACCCGCGAGCTCTAGTAAGCTTGTTACCCTGTCCGCGACCTTGACATGCCTGGTGTAAACATACTGCAATCTTGCAAGTACGAAAATTGTATGATGTAAGTCTGTAGTTTCGACAGCGTTACGTGATTCCAATCAAGAGGTTCATCAGAAATAAAAGATTACAGCGATAAAAATTAAAGCAATTACACACTTCAATATTAACAAATGCGCTTAGCATTCCATACAGTTAGTCACATTTCACAGATTACAGATATGCGCTAGTAGTGGAGGAAACTGTAGACTGAGCAATTGAACAGCTATTTTCCGTTCAATAGTCGCAATCAATTAACTCTTGATTGATTATTAATTAAATAGGTCAATAATGTCCATTTCGAAGAAATTTTCCCTTTGGCTTCTTTTAATCCGTAGTGTAAATGCTCGGATAGTCATTTGCTTTGCCTCTGAGCAGTAAAACTCCTTGTCTGCGCACGTTTTCTTGAACTCTCATTTTCAGTACCAGTGAAGGTGGTTTATTTACCGCCAGTAGTCCCATCAAATCAAATACGTAACTAATCAGCCGTTATAAATAGTTTCTATTGCACGGTAGCTAAATTTATTGTTATTAACGTTCTTATTATTATTGTCAACGACAACCTTTGGTATCTTTATTCATACTCCAACCAATTCATGTGATAAAAAGAAAGGGAATAGGTATCTCGAGAAGTGTGAAGTTAGTGCATTCTCTATTCTCTCACATCACTTGATCGTTTCTTCTGTGACGTCGCTGGTGATTAAACGTTCAAATGTGCAAAACGGAAAGAAAACGGTGCGAAATGGCTGCGGGGGGGGGATGGATACCGGGGAGCATGCTCTCGCAATCAAGTTTGATGTTCCCGACTGCAAAAGTATTCATTTACTGCAACCAGAAACACAAATAATCGGTGTTAGGTGTCACATTCAAGGTTATGAACACTTGGTGATAAGAAGGAATCAAAATTAATAAAATTGGACAAAATACTTTCCGAGAGCAATCATTGGATTAATTAAGATTGTGATGCGCAAGCAAAGGTAGTCATCCTTTCACTCATCAGTGCTTTGATTTGTAGTACGAGTACATCTCTCTGGAGTTTTGAAAGTCCCTACTGAAGAAAAGTGCCCATTCACACCCCGTCGAATGGGTGAACGTGTGTTTTTTCGGGCTCATATTACGGACATTAGTTTTTTGAATGTAGTGCATGCTATAGGAGGGAGGCGGCGGTGTTCCCCTGCTGCCGGAACAGGAGATCCAGCGTCAACCTACACGTCGACATACAGGGTTATTCCCCTCCAGATATCTCTCCGTGCGATGCATCGAGTGTCTGGTAGTGTGAAGGGAGAGGGAAGGCTGCTCGCGATCCGTTTGTTAGTGCACTGCTCCGACATTCGGCTGGTGTTGATCGAAGAAACCACGGGATTACCAGTCCGAGCAGCCGACCGATAGAATTCTCCTCCAGACAGCGACTAAATTCGACCTAGTTATGTATCTGCCAGTATCGAAAATCATCCCACCGGCAGGACTCGAACCTGGATCTCGCAGTCAGAGAAGCAGCAGGGACAACTGTTGCTGAAACTAATACCTAAGCCGGTGGAAATCCTGAGAAAACGTGCGCACATTGTATTTCATCTTTCTCATTCACAGTTTTTTTAACCTTTTTTAACGTTAAATAAATAAAGTCTTCACTTGAAGGTTTCAATTGGTCAGCGCTGGTGGCAAAGCTTAAAAGTGCGATCTTAAACGTTCGTGCAGAAAGCGAAGACCAGAGAGCGAGTTGGCGGTGACGGAGGGGGGTCATCCAATAAGGAGGGATGGTTCTCTCCTTACTGAATTTGAAGGACCCTTTCGGAAAATAATAAATTTATTCAAGCAATGGGATACAAGTCATCCATATTACGTGATAGGTTAAAGGTTTTAAACACGTTTAAATTAACAAAATCAAGAAAATTTGGCAAAAAAAAGCATTTCGGAGAGCATTGTTAGTCTATTGCATAAGCGAAGACGGTAACCTTTCAACTTGGCACTTAATGGACTTGGTAATAAAATATTGAATTACACTAGCCACAGTAAGCCCCCCGCTATTTTTAAATGTTAATAACTCTGTTTTGGTGAAATTGTAGTTCGTCTTGTTACATTATATGTCATGTTCAAATTCATGTAGAGTTTGGGACAGTGACATGAAGACATACACTTCACCAAAAATAGAAATATTAGCATTTACACGACAGGGAGAAGCTTTCTGTTGCCGGGAGGTATATGTAGATTATTCAAATACTATATTGGTTTATAGGTGATTTGTTTGATTAGCGTTGGCATTGCTAAAAAAGAATAATTAGAGGCGTTGTCTTAGTCAACAATATTGTTTACTGAAATATTAGCTTTCTAAGGCTTGGTTTGATACAAAAATGTATACAAATATTATAACATTCAGTTCCTTTATTAGTAATCGATTAACCGAATGATTCGATTTTTTTATGTTTTTGTATCAGAAAACTCATTATGATGGCAAAGCCATCCAAAGTTGATAATTCTATAAACATGTTGCTGGCAAAGACAACACCTCGAATTATTTTATCTAGCGACTATCAGTAGCTTTCAATCATCGATTTGTCCTCCTACATGACGTTTTCATTCCAAGTCTTTGAAAACTCAAAATGTTGAATGTCATCCTGTAGAGAAAAGGGCCCACTTCCACCCTACTGAAGGTGCGTAGGGATGCGACATCGATGTCGATGTTTTGTATTCGATATTTTTAAGTCGACCATATTATTTAAATGAATGAAGTCCCTCGTCGCCGGAAGATCGGCGAAGAGCCCTGTCGCTTGACGGACGCGCGTTGCCGTGGAGACGTGGAAAAGCGCCTTAAGGGTCTCGACCAGTCTCTTGGCATGTTAGAAACATCGATATTTTAAATTTGAGCATCCATGCGTAGAAACATCGATGTTTAATAACCTGGATGGTTTTGAGTCGATGCTTCATTAGCATCGATGTTTTAATTTGGAGCACCGATGTGTAGAAACATCGACGTCACATCCCTAAAGGTGCGTGCGGAGAGCCATGCTTCGTGCAGTGGGGGAGGTCGTGCTGGGAGAACGCCTTACCTCTGCGCCCCTGTTCGCCTGTGCCGGCGCCTACAGGAGTGGTGGGCAGCCGCGCCGTCACCTCGGGCGCGGAGGCAGGGGGCGCGCGCGGGGGCGGTGCGGGCGGCGTGGGCGTCACGGGCGGGCGGGGACCCACGGGCGTGGCGGGGAGCGCCGGCGACGAGGGCGAAGGGAGCGCTAGGGCCGGCGCGGGGAGGTTGAACGCCCTACGCCCTTCACTGGCTTCCTTCGCTCGCCGCCTCCCTACGGTGACACATGCAACGTCAGTTGGTGCTCGCTACCTAGAGCGTGCTACGTTTCAATCGTTCAAAGCATTGCAGCAAGCAAACATTATACATAGTGTTTGTTTACTATGTAGCACTAACTACGTGGAGAAGGGACATCTTAATTAAAAATATCAGCGTTTCTTAAAGAATATAAAAGTTAGAAATCGACTTTACACTGGAGTCAAACTAATCAATTCTTTCGTTTTAACCTTTTCTCCAGCCCATCTTTAGTTATAATAAAGCTTTCTTGTAATAACAAACACATTTTTTACGAAAAAAATGTGCAGTTTATACAAAGCTACTACTAATAGAAAAAATGTTCCCAAATAAGGGCGCCCCTGAGCATATCAGGGTATTAGTGGTGTACGTGAGATATCACTCAAGTGAATTTGAATTTGCTTAATTACATCATCGAAGATTGCCAAATGGAGCACAAACTATCACACCATGAACAAATGGTCTCAAAAATAAAATTGTGAAGTGACTAACAAACTGCAATAAACTAATTGTCAGACAGACGAACTTTTCCTTACATCCCTTTAAAGGGACATGTATCCATTGTTATTCATCTTTTAGTATTTGGTTGTTTCTTGTCTTAGTACTAGGCAAGTACCTTAAAGTTGCCAATTTATTTAAACCAAAATTCTTTTAACAGAATTCATGCAACAGTAACACAATATAGCGGAATTAAAGGGGGCTCTCTTGGAACATCCTGTGTATGTAAAATAAGAAAAATAAATAGTAATGAAGTTTAAATCAACTAAATATGAAGAAAATGCAACATTATCCTGCAAATTGTCATTAAAATATAACCTACAAGCATGCAATGTTATACATTCCTTGGCGGCTCTATAACTTAAAAGTCCCATCAATTGTCTTATATCGTGATATTTTTTTTAAATATTGAAAATTCATAATGAACAATAGGTTCATTTAACACTAATAGTATTAATACATCATTCACCTACTCGTAAACTATAAGAATATGGGGAAAACAGAAATCATAGGTATTTATTCTTTGACATTAATTTATTATTAAAACTATAAAAAAAA